CTTTTACCTTCCCATTTCTATCTTCCCCCTTCTACCTTCCACCTTCTACCTTCCCCCTTCTACCTTCCCCCTTCTTTGCCTTCTTCCCCTCCGGTCTCTCGTTCACCTTTTCTTTACCTGCTTACTCTCTCTACTTTATCTCCTATCTTCTACCTTTAGTCTTCCCTCCATAACCTTCCCCTTCCTACTTTACCTTCTGCCTTCTTTTTCTTCCTTCTTTACCTTCCCCTTACTATTTTATCTTAATTTTACCCTCTTCCACTCCATCCTTTACCTTCCCATTCTAACTGTTTCTTCTCCCTTTTATAATCTTCCCCTTTAAACTTATTTCCCATCACTTCCTATACCTCTCTTTTCTACATTTTCCTCCCATCTTGATATCATTCCTGTTTCTTTCCCACACTACCTTCTTTCCCCTTCTCTTCTGTTCTATTCTTCCATTTTTTCTTTTTGAATTGTTCTTAACCTGTTCTATTTTTTCCAAAAAGAAATTTTTCATTCCATTACCCATTAATCTTTTACGATATTTCAACCTCAATCTTATCATTCTCTAAACGTCCCCTAGATTTTTGTATGCCCTAAATCTTTATGTTAAGATTAAATTCAAATTTTCTTCATCCCTTAAATTCTCCCTCCCACCTTCCAAACCCCTCTTCCCCCCCCCCTCATCCCTCCACAATCACCAATTTGTAAAGCGGAGTCAAAGCTGAAAATAGAGATTAAGATTTCATCTTTATGGTATTTTATATCCTCGTCTTCTAGTCAGCTCATGGCTGCAGGTTGAGACAATATTGTTTATATATGGAGCTGAAGGAAACAAGAACATATGGACAGTTCAGGGTTACAGATCAAACCATACCTTGCTCATTTGGAGTTTCTTCATAATCATTCTCCTTGTATCCATGTTCTTCATATCCGTTCTTTTTATATCCATGTTTTTCATATCCATTCTCCTCGAAGTGATTTTCTTTGCATGCATTCTCTGCATATCCATTTTCTTTGTATCCATTCTTTGCATATTCGTTCTCTTTGTATCCATTCTCTTTGTATCCATTTTCTTTGAATCCATTATGTGAATATCCATTTTCTATGTATCCATTCTCTGCATATCCATTGTCTTTGTATCCATTCTCTGCATATCCGTTTTCTTTGTATCCATTCTCTGCATATCTTTTCTCTCTATATCCATTCTCCATGTGCCCATTTTCTTTGCATTCATTTTCATTGTTGACATTCTTTTTACGTACATTTTCATGGTGTCCATTACTGTGACCTCTCTTCATGTACCCATTTCCAATCAAAGCATTTTCATGGTTACTTTTTATCGAACCCCCATTCTCCTTGTTTAGAGTTAGATCTCTGTGAAAAGGGTTGCTGTTCCTTGTATTTCTCTCCTGGGAGGTTTTCTGGTGTTCTGCCACTAGACTCAATCTTCTTCTACTTGTAGAGAGTGTTTCAGCTTGAAGACTCAGTCTTTTTTCCGTCTGTCTTGAGTTCTTACTCACAGATGAACGCGATCTGTATACGACCTCCCCCTCCAGACAGCTGTCAATGTCTTCCACTGTGTACCCACCCTCTACTGGTTTACTTGAATTAATATCCGCCTGTTTGTAGCCTGTCTCATTAGCTGATCTATCACATGGACTGAGTGTACTATTGCGGAAGAAAAGAGGTACTGACTGTTCAGATCTCCTACTGGTTCCAGTAAATCCTGCGGTAGAGTGGAACCGTGATAATCCTTTATAGCTTACTGGGGCCTCCACCCTTTCCAACCCAAGGGGAATTATTCCAGTTTTTAAAGCTTCTACATCTGGTATTTCATCTCGAGGTTTTGAATCACTGGTTCGAAGCTCTTCAGTCTCCATGTAAAGGTTTAACCTGGATCCTGTCGAGTCTAAACTGCTTGTCTTGGACTCTGCAGCTGTAGAGCTACATCTGGAACCTGCAGACTGTAAGCTGCTGGATTTAGAATGCAACACTTGGTAGTTTATTTGGTTAGAGCTGCCCTGCATATTTAGGGAGGAGTATGGATGCTCAAGTGAATTGTTGTGAAAGCTCAATGGTTCATAAAGACTTGATACTCCGGAGTCACTCTCGTAGAAGTTACCGCTCTCCTCCCCAACCTCCCTTCCCTCCCGACCCCGCAGTAAAGTTCCTTTGGGAGAATACAGTTCACGTCTCTGAAATAAAAACTCACTCTTAGACCCATACAGTTCGTTTTTATGTGCATAAAGATCATTTTTTGATCCGTAGATATCCTGTTGGGCATTAAAGAGGTCGGATCTAGAACCAAAGAAGTCCAGTCTTCGTGGAGGCCTCTCCTTCTGCTCAAACACCAAGGAACGAGGGCTCTAAACAAACAAAGGTTATAAATGCAACAAGCCATCAACATGTTGGTGGTCTCCAATATTTTGTGTTGCGTAATTATAATGCACTTTATACTGATGATGAGGTTGAAAATGAGATCCTAAAAGATCAACTATCTTAATCACTTCAACATATGAAATAGCAGAATTCTTTCTGAAAGTTTAGAACATTATGGTACTGCAAAAGATAAGTTGGTAATTGGTTAATAAGGTTAAAATTCAATTTGGGAAAGTTTTAGCTGGGTTATGAATGGGTACATTGATTTAATTGGGATAAAATTAGCTGTTTAAATAAAGAAGCTAGCTATAGATCTAGTCTAAGTTATAAAGCTAGCAAGGGCCTAAGTGTAATAAAGCTAGCTAGGTTAGAGCAAAATCTGATGACGCTAGCTAGGGTGGTATACACATACAACGCTTGTTCTATTGAACTTGCTTCGCCTAATTAAGTTATTACAAAGGAGGGATGACAGCGCACCTTTTTGCGAGCTTGAGTTTTTATCAAAAATATGACAGGTCTTTTAAACTTATAGAAGTATCCGTATATATTATGTGGGTTTATATAAAGGATAAATCTGACTATTGCATCATGCTGTTTCAGAATTATTTGTGCAAAAAATAGGTCAGTGTAGCAGTGGAGCAATCTATCCAATTATTTACCTGGTTTACAGTTTCGTAGATATCCCCACTGTCCCCTTCAACACATTCAGACAAGGTCTAAAACAAAATATCAATAAATAAATAAATGAAATAATATCAAATAATTAATTGAATTAATAAATAAAATAAAATTTTTAAAATCAGAAAAATATTTTTTGATTTAAACATGTAAACAATGCATGTTGTACAAGTAAAGAAGTGAACAAGAGTACACAGATACATGTTGAATAAAAGAAGAAATAATTATAAAATTAACTCAAAGTATACATATATATTTATTTACATTTGTGTATAGAGTAGGTAGAAGTAGTGAAGGTATACTTCTACTACAAGACACGCCTCCTGCCCCTCCTCCTCCTCCTCTTCTTTCATCTGCTCCACCCTTCTTCTAAATACGAAAACTGTTATGATATTTGTTTCAAATAGAGAGGGTTTCATTTATTAGAATTTCATGTGGAAGCATATATTAAAAGATTGTTGTGTGGAATGTGGAAGTATGGTGTGAATTATGGAATTGTGCTGTGGACAAGAGAAGTATATTGTGGAAGTTTGGCGTGGAATGTGGAAGTTATAGTGTGGCATGTGGAAGAAAAGTACGGAATATGTAAGTGTAGTATGGAATGTGGGTGTATAGTGTGGAATGTGGAAGTGCAGTGTGGAATGTGGGTGTATACTGTATGATACTCTAGTATAATATAAAATTGAAGTGATTATAATCCGTCGCCTTGAACCCTTGCTTTTATTCCCATTAACCTATTCTAGCACACACAAAACCATTCTGGTTACACCTTGTATCTATCTTTTGATCTAAAGGGACTGTACACCTCCTATCTATATTTAGATATAAAGGGACTGTACACCTCGTATCTATCTTAAGATCTAAAGGGACTGTGCACCTCCTATCTATCTTTAGATATAAAGGGACTGTACACCTCGTATCTATCTTTAGATATAAAGGGACTGTACACCTCGTATCTATCTTTAGATATAAAGGGACTGTACACCTCGTATCTATCTTTAGATCTAAAGTGACTGTTCACCTCCTATCTATCTTTAGATCTAAAGGGACTGTACACCTCCTATCTATCTTTAGATCTAAAGGGACTGTACACCTCCTATCTATCTTTAGATATAAAGGGACTGTACACCTCCTATCTATCTTTAGATATAAAGGGACTGTACACCTCGTATCTATCTTTAGATCTAAAGGGACTGTACACCTCCTATCTATATTTAGATATAAAGGGACTGTACACCTCCTATCTATCTTTAGATCTAAAAGGACTGTACACCTCCTATCTATCTTTAGATCTAAAGGGACTGTACACCTCCTATCTATCTTTAGATATAAAGGGACTGTACACCTCGTATCTATCTTTAGATCTAAAGGGACTGTACACCTCCTATCTATCTTTAGATATAAAGGGACTGTACACCTCGTATCTATCTTTAGATCTAAAGGGACTGTACACCTCCTATCTATCTTTAGATATAAAGGGACTGTACACCTCGTATCTATCTTTAGATCTAAAGGGACTGTACACCTCCTATCTATCTTTAGATATAAAGGGACTGTACACCTCGTATCTATCTTTAGATCTAAAGGGACTGTACACCTCGTATCTATCTTTAGATATAAAGGGACTGTACACCTCGTATCTATCTTTAGATCTAAAGGGACTGTACACCTCGTATCTATCTTTAGATATAAAGGGACTGTACACCTCGTATCTATCTTTTAAAGGGACTGTACACCACGTATCTATCTTTTAAAGGGACTGTACACCACGTATCTATCTTTTAAAGGGACTGTCAACGTAATTTCATGGAAAACTCTATATTTATATTTCAGGCCCAGTTCACTAAACGGTACCATATTAACCCTTTATATTTTTTGTCGTTTTTCGCAGAAAAATGTAGCAACTTAAGTTTTCTGAAAACAAATTAACGATTCCGTTCTTTATTTCTAGTAAAAAATGTTGCCATTTTCGATTAAGATATGTCCAAAAATGTTGAAGGAGACATTTTAAGAAACAATCAGTTACAATTCATAAAAATCCTTATCAAAAATGTTTAATAAAAAAAGGTGACAGCAATCAAACCACCATCTTCTGGTTACCACTGATATATATATCTATGTATCTTAACCCCTCCATATTAATAGATTATAATTCCCCCCAATAAAACCTGAAATATTGGGAGGGATTCGGAAAAGTATGAATTCCCCTTAGGTACAATAAATCTGTATTTGTCAACAGAAAATAGGGAAATAGATTTTTTATTGCCCCCACTGTGTGTCCGTGACAAAAGGGACAACTTTGGGAGAAGGGAGGCTGCAGGGAGTCCTTCCCACTCATTTCATTGACCACCCTTAGGAGTTAGGATTCCATTTTTCCTGTTAAAAATGTCCCCCCCCCCCCCCTATAACAACACCATGAATTGCTTTTGTGCCCGTAAGGGATATATGTGTTTATGTGCGGGCATTAAATCATCGTATTGAGTTTATGTCTTCCACCCAATGATTAAACTAAACTATAGTCAAGGGTATATCTATAATAAATCCTAAAGAATATTCAAGCCATAGATAACACAGATAAAAGTAATGTTGTTCTTTTGTTAATTTTGTTCATTACAGTCTCTTCGTGTAAAATATCTTAAAGTTTGTATTTAATATATTGGGATTGGACAATGTTTATTCTACCAAAATATTAAAGCCTTAATGAGACTTGAACTGACCTCCCTAGCTGTATGTCCGATTTACAATGGTAACTTTCTATTTGGAAAAGTGTTGAACCTTTTAATAAAAAATATAATTTTGCAAAGATTTTCACATTTTTGATACGCTTCTAGATTTAAATCCAAAAAGTGTAGTATATATTACTTCTATCTCTGTATTCTGTGATTGACCGTATAAAGCAAACACAGTACACACCACTACAGTTTTTAGATATATATATATATAACGATATATAATCTTTATATTCAAGCAATAACGAGGCAGTTTATAGTTAACAAAGCAATAACTACAACAGGGAGTCTTAGCATTAACGTTTAACTGTTATTATCTGTTAAACTCAATCTAACACTAGGGTTGTTCATTAACGTTTAACTGTTATTATCTGTTAAACTCAATCTAACACTAGGGTTGTTCATTAACGTTTAACTGTTATTATCTGTTAAACTCAATCTAACACTAGGGTTGTTCATTAACGTTTAATTGTTATCATCTGTTAAACTCAATCTAACACTAGGGCTGTTTTAATAAAGATTATACCGAAAATGGCAGAGCTCTTTCAAATAAAATAAATAAAATTAGAAAATGATTTAAAAACTTTTTTGATTTTTTATTGCGGGAGTTTTAACATTTCTTTAATATTGATTAATAAATCCTGACTTCAAAGCCAAACTATCAATTTAATGATCAATTTAAAAAATAAACTTTTGGGATGATTAGTTTTACGATTTTGTTCTTGATCGAATACTATTAGACTTTTGCTTTAAATATGTTGCTTTGGTTTGCAAAAATACTTTAAATATATATAGTTTTTTTTTCTCGAAAAGCTTTCTACTTTTTTCAAAGATAATAATGGTTGGTAAGAAACCAAATATTTGACTGTCATAGGTCAGCGCCTCTTAAAAAGATATTAATAAAAAATTGTATCTCTAATAACGGAAAAGTATATAGTAGGCCTGGGAATCTATTTATATCTTTTCTCAGATACTATTTACGCAGACCTGTCAAATCTGATTTGAAAATTACATAATTTGCAGAGAAAAGATGTTTTGAAAACTTTCCACGGTTTAATCAATAAATAAATAGCGAAGGTTAAACTATTTGTTGTGCTGGGTTGTGTTGAAGATAGATTAGAGAAGAATCAGATTTTTTTCTAAAGATTTTAAGTTAATTGAGTAAGTTTTAAGATATATTTCTAGATTCACTAGAAGATGGCATTTAAATATATAATAGATATATAGAAAAATGAAAAGATAGATGAATAGATATATAAAACGAAAGATAAATAGATGAATATATAGGTGATGGATAGATGTATAGATATATACATATAGATATGTAGAATAGATTGATGAATTAATAGATGAATAGATAGATGAGTACATATCTCATAGATTAATGATAGATAGATAGATAGACATACACTTGATAAATGATAGGGTTATAGATAGGTATGAACATGTATAATGGATACGAGATTTCAATTTCAATTTTCATGAATTTTAACAATGTATTTAGATGTATCTATGTATAGTTGAAATTGAAAACAGAAGATTGAAAGAGAAAAAGTAATCTAAATAAAACTGTAAATCAAAAAGTATAAACCTCGAAATGAAATTTGATCCGTTAAAAGAATGTAATGTACGTGTGTATTTTCAAATTATTGATATTGTTTATCAGTTTTTAACATCATTCACATCATTTGGTAATTTGATTCCTCACTACACTACACTACACTTCACTAACACTACACTACACTACACTACACTACACTACACTACACTACACTACACTACACTACACTACACTACACTACACTACACTGCACTACACTACACTACACTACACTACACTACACTACACTACACTACACTACACTACACTACACTACACTTTAAATGCCAAAGCATCTAAATTTACGACATGAAGACAGCACATAATATAATTTGCAAAATTTACACGAGATTTTATGCAACAAATTTTGAGAGTATAAAACAATTAAATTAACCATACGTTGTAAAATTGTAGTTTACAAATGAAATCGACAATACTTTGTCTCATTCTATAATTTTTATCATTTAGTGGAACTTTTAAATTTTGTATAATTTTAATTGCTAAACATTAAAATCACATTTTGTAAATTTTTTAGGAACATGATGGATAATGAAAGACTCTATAGAGGGGGAGGGGGGGTAATAATCCCCCCCCCCCAAAATGGTAACTTTTAAATAAACTTACCCTTCCAACTGAGACTATAGATTGAGATGATTGGTAGAAATCTCGAGTTTTTATTGATTTATTCAGCGCCTACCATCAAAAATGCATTCTTATATCTTTCGGGTTATACTTTAAACTCAATTAATCAAGTCATCAATTTATTAGAAATATGGCTCAGTGCACCAGGATAAGAAAAAAACCTAAAATTTTAGCGGTAATGTATACAAAAGTCCTGAAATCTGCGAAAAAAAGCACAAAGTTTGCATTAAATAACATATGGGGAAAGTAGAAAAAGAATGACAGGATTTAGTGAAATTGAGCAAATCACCATTTTCATTTTGAGACTAAAATATCAATATATCATTTCCAACCCCCTTTTACAAATAGTCATTTCAACCGTAAACTTCTGCAGAGATACAGAAATAACGAAACACAGAGATGCAGAGATATAGAGATACAAAAAACAGACATCTAGAGAAACTGAGATACAGAGATACAGAAATATACAGACATAGAGAAACAAAGATGTATTGATAAAGGGCACACCGGACTGACCAGAGTGAACAGCATTCGGTTTCTTCTATTTGAAATCAAACGTGTTTTGGTCTTTCAATAATCATTTACTTTACGGATTTGTTTATTTTATACATTTTTATTCAAAATGCATATGCCAACAAAAAAGTATTTAAGAAGAAAGGCTAACAAATTGTGTTTAATGGGTCAAATTGTGATCAATAGGCACAATTGTGTTTAATGGGTCAAATTGTGATCGAAAGTCACAGCTTTCTGGAATATTGACAGAACCGGTAAATCCACGTGAGGGATATAGATAAACAGAGATACATATAAACAGAGATACAGATAAACATAGATACAGAGAAACAGAGATTTAGAGATACAGATAAACAGAGATACAGATAAACATAGATACAGAGAAACAGAGATTCAGAGATACAGATAATTAAATAGAGATACAGAGAAACAGAGAAACAGAGAAACAGAGATACAGAGAAACAGAGATACAGAGAAACAGAGATACAGAGAAACAGAGATACAGAGAAATAGAGATACAGAGAAACAGAGATACAGAGAAACAGAGATACAGAGAAACAGAGATACAGAGAAACAGAGATACAGAGAAACAGAGATACAGAGAAAGAGAGAAATAGAGAAACAGAGAAACAGAGAAACAGAGATACAGAGAAACAGAGATACAGAGAAACAGAGATACAGAGAAACAGAGATACAGAGAAATAGAGATACAGAGAAATAGAGATACAGAGATACAGAGATACTGAGAAACAGAGATACAGAGATACACAAATACAGGGATACAGAGATATAGAAATATAAAGACACAGAGATTCAGAGATACCGAGATACAGAGATACAAAGTTACTGAGATCCAGAGATACAGAGATAAAGAGGTAAAGAGATACAGAGATAAAGAGATACAGAGATAAAGATACAGAGATGCAGAGATACAGAGATAAAGAGATATAAAGATAAAGAGATACAGAGATATTATAAGATACAGAGATGCAAAGATACAGAGATTCAGAGACACGAGTATAGAGATAACCAGGTAAAGAATAGAAAACTAATAATTGATGAATAAATATTTATTGATAAAGGATGAATAGATGAATAATGTTGGTATGCGGAAGGGCTTTGGAGTTTATAATCGTAACAATTATGTTTTTGCTTTGACACTCCCCCCCCCGCTCCCTTCTTCCACCTTGGTCTGACCCCCCCCCATCCCTCTGGTCTGATTCCCCCCCTCTCACAAACTGGCCTGATTGCTAAGTATACGCAAATTCCATAACGGGTATCAACACATTGAAGGACCTTACGCACATATCTACGCAGTATTCACACATTCCTACGCTAATTTGATATCATTATTGTGGAGGGGGGAGGGTGCTGCTCATCAATAAGGGTGTATTGCTGAATAACCCAGCATGTAAATATGCGATGAATGGAAAAAGGAAGAATTATAAACATTCTTAGATTCCTCTATTCTCAATTCTCTTTTCCAAAATCTCAATCTTCAATTGCAATTCTCAATTTCCTATTCTCAATTTTCAAATTCTAACTCTCAATTCTCTATTTATTTTTTTTCTTTAATCTCAATTCTCAATTCTTTATTCCTAATTCTCAATTTTCTTTCCAAATCCACGAATGCAGAATAGAGCATTCATAATTACTAAGAGAATAGCTAGTTAAGAATAGAGAATTTTCTTTAACAAACTGAAGAATGAAGAAGAGAAAAGAAAAAAATGAGATTTGACGTTCTTTTTTTATCGAAATGATGTCACATGACCCCCCTCCCGGCCCGTATTACACTGTTTAGCATAATACTGTCTGAGGGATGATTGTAAATACTTGAATGAAGAGCAAACTACAAAACAGTTTAGAATAAATAGTTTCACAGTGGAGTGTATGGATGGGGTTGCCAAGTGCGGGGGATACGTGGATGAATGTTCGTACAGTTAGTCTCTGTTGACACGAGCCAGATATTTTGAAATTTTCATTGTTTTGCTAGTTAAATCTAATAGCTTAACCCTATTCCGACTGAACTCCCCCCCCCCCCTTAATTTCCTTATTGTGATACAAATCTATAACATATAATACATTTTTGGAAAGCCCTTGGGGTCACTTAAATAATTAGCAAAACAATTTAAAATTTTGCTAAATTTTAAATATTTATTGAAAAATCTAATTTTTCAGCGAACTATAATAAATTATACATTTTTGAAAGCCCAGCAAATTTTAATATGCAAAAATATTTGCAACATTTTCAAAACCAAAATGTGTGTTCTAGAAAAACTAAAAATGTGCAAATTCCCTTTTAAAGCGTCTGTGCAAAAATCTACGCAAAATTTCTTTGCAGAAATAGTGCAATCTGCTTTCTTGTGTTGTAGGCTTTCCAAAGAGCTACACACACAATGTTCTAATCGAATGACTTAAAATAGGTCAAAGTTTGGATTTAGTCTGGTAAGGGTAAAATAAGGCATTCAGGCATGATGTTTGTGGACTCAGGCAGTAGGTATAAAAGCCCAGCTTTTAGCCAAAAGGGAGAGGCATGTATTAGTTAGAAAAGTAAAAAAAAATGAACAGCCTCAACTTAGAATCTCAAATTTCTCTAATCAAAATTTTAGGAAAATTGTTCAAGGGGTTCATGAGTTATGATCGGACAAACAAACAAACTTACAAATTTATATAATAGAGAGATTAGGATATATATAGTTTAGAATGCAAAATTTTCCTGTTGGCTGGATTGTCGTCGTAGTCTCTTTAGGGTATCAGAGGTCAAGCTAGAACCTAAACAATAATAATGATAATAATAATAATAATAATAATAATAACAATGATAATGATAATAATTATAATAATAACAATAATAATAATAATAAT